TTACCAAGCATGATGACCTTTGCCAGGGACTGGTCTTTCTTGAGAACATGTGCAAAGTATGTGGGACAAGTGTCACCATTCCTGTCTCTAAGGAGCATTCTGGCTGCACTTCCTCCAAGATCGATGTGTTTCTTCCTTTGGCAGTCTGTGGTACTTTCAATTTTCTAGCCAAAACCGTAGTTCAAATGCATCACTGTTTCTTAGGTCTGCCTTATTCAATGGCCAGCCTTCAAATGAATAAGGGGGAATTAGAAATGCCATGACTTAATACTTACCTGGTGGGGGAAATGTCCTAATTACAACAATGGTTTTCCCAGGGCAAGGCTTATCCGTTGTGCTCTGGATGTGCTGACCCCTGCAATTTCCCCAAACGTGGGAAACACAGCTGCAAAGTTTATGATAGCAGAGGACTGTGCTCACACTCTCCCCTAACAATTAAGAGAGAGAGAGAGAGAGAGAGCCATGACTTGTGTTAGGCACACATCAGTCTTCAAAGTGCCACCCTAGCTTTTCAACACTTTAAAGAGGTCTGTGCAGTAGCTTTACCCAATGCAATGAGTCCTTTGATCTCTTGAGCATTGACTGTGGATCCAAGCAAGAGGAAATCCTTGGACCCACCATCAATGCTCATGGAATCGACTTGATGACAATGAACAGATATGATAAACCTGATGCAACCCTATGCAAATAGACTAAGGAAACCTAGAAGCCCTGCGGAATGAACTGTACCCAGCCCCGAAGCTGCCAGCACCCTTGGACTGAGGGCTGGGGTATGTGGATGGGAGAGAAAACAGAGTGGTCACCCCAGAAATGTGGAAGTGGCAGTGGTGGTCATTGGACTTTGGGGAGAACCCCGGCTTGGTGGGTGCCCAATGAAAGGGACCAAGATCACCATACAGGTAGTACCTAAGTGCCCACACGAACGGTTGTGATCCATTGAGCAGGGGTCTGCACTTGGAAGACCTGAGTCAGGAAGTGCCCCCTGGCATCAGTCCCCATACTTAGGGTGAACAGCATCCAATTGAACGAGAGCTCTAACTGTGTAGGGTAAAACCTTGTGGGTTGCAGCTCCAGGTGGAACTGTGCTTGCATAGACTCCTCATACCGACAGTGTCTGCAGTGCTGGGTCACTGGGAAAATTGATGATGATAATAGTGCAATCGACTTATACCCCGGGGTGGGGGATGGGGATTGACAATGCTGTACTTCTTTATTTATATGGGTTTTTGCTTTCATGCTTGTAGCTTGCTTTTATAACGTTCTTTCTTTTGGAGTGTGTATGTGTTCTGTTTGTTGGCTGCTGGTTGGCTTCTGTCTGCTATTGATGTAGTTGATCTTACAGGACTGTGATTTTGTCATATTATGACAGCCAAAGTAAACCTGAGATGTGCAAACCCCATGAACAAGCAGATGGAGTCTGGGCTCCTACTTAAGTCTAGCCCCAATTCAAGAACTGTTAGCTCTGATAACATAGCCCTGCTCAACACTCACCTTCATTAATGAACACTGAAGATAAGGGTGCTACAGCAAAATGTGGTGAAGAAAGTAGATGGTGCCCGGCTATCAATTGGAGTAGTGTCTGGGGTCTTAAAGGCTTGTATGTCTGGAGTCTTAAAGGCTTGTATTCAAACAAGCAGCCATCTAAGCAAAGATCCAACTAAATCCAAACGGATGAAGCACACCAGTTTGTGTGATCCAAAGTTGACAATTACAAAATTCGAATATGGCGAAGGGAAAAGTATCAGAGCTAAAATTATGAACACTCGATTTGTAGAAGGCTAAGGAGGACAGTGGGAGCCCAAAACCCAACTGCAGATATATGGTCAGACTGAGCCCCTGGCAGATCTGCTCTGGCCACAGGCAAGAGTCCTGAACAGCCTTACTATCAAGCAGAGACCGAGGTAACCTTGACCGTGGTAACCTTGACCGCGCTGGATAGAACTCAGTACTTGACCAGTTGACCTCCCTATAGACCCAACCTGAATGTGTTCTGGGTGTAAGTGTCTCTTACTTGTTCCATGACAGAAAATTTCTTCCCTGACTTTTTGAACGTTGATGGGGGTCTTCTCTTTCTTACTCATTATTTGTATTTTTGTTTTTATATTATTGTTATTTTATCCTTACCACTTTACTCCGATTTTGTTTGTTTGTTTCTGTTGGGTTTCCCAATTTGTGAAACACAGGAGGATTTGATGCAAAGTGATAATAACTGATAAAAGGGTTTATAGGGGATTCCAGGGATTGGGAGTAGGTGATAGGGAAGGAAAAGGGATTTCAGGAATAAAACACTAAAGGCGGGAGTGGGGAGGGAGCACTAGAACTGATTGTGATTGCACAACTCATTCTAAAGGTGATTTAACATGGAGGGCGGGGGCTGTTCTAAAATTGATGTGGTAATGATTGTACAATTCTTTATATGATTGAATGATGGAACTATTGAATTGTATGATATGTAAATTATGTTCCAATAACACAACTGGGGGGGAAATAGACAAATGAAATAGATGCATATATGTGAACATTGACACCCCACCCCTCCCCCCCACCACCCCACCCACCACCACCCCCCCACCCCTGAGCCACCAAACAAGCATAGCATTTGGCAAGACAATGGGACTAGGAATAACCTTTTAAGTAAATTGGTGCTGGATGAAATTAGGCTCCTGTCTTATCCACAAATCAATTTCAGGTAAAGTGAAGATCTAAGTGGAAAAAAATAAAAACAATAATTCTACCACTGCTCTACCCATATGTAGCTACTGAGCATTTGAGATATGCTGTTAAACATAAATTTAGTAAGGAAACGGATTACGTACAATGAATCCTATGAGAGCCTGACTTGACAAGCTGCCTTGTTTTACCAGCTCTCACAAGTTCTCTGCCATTGATGGGGGGCAGTCTTACCACTTCTCTATCACTATTAGTGGAAAATACATGAGGTGTCCTTCTCTGATAGGTGTCTGCTTCACATCGTGTCATGGAGAGAATTGTGTCTCACAAAAATGTGTCAACTTAACTAGACCATGATTCCCAGTGATTCGGCAGTTATGTAAAGATGGAATCATTCCCCATGATGCGATCAGCTCACCAACTGTGAGGGGGTTCAGGTAGGATACAACACCCTCACTCAGATCATAGCGTTGATCTGATGTCAGGGGACTTTCTCTGGGGCACGGCATTCATCGTGGCAGACATCTCACCAGACATGACAGCAGGAACAAAAGAGCAGAGAAGGAGGGGTCTCAGTCCTACCAACAAGGAGCGAAGCACATCCTTCGGACCTGAAGTCTCTGCGTTGGACACGAGGAAGATCTCTTCAGAACACCAGGCCCAGGGCTGTTAAAAAGAGATGGGCCCGTTCCCCAGAGCCAACAGAAGGAGAACGCTTTCCCCTAGAGCTAGTGCCCTGAATTCAGGCTGCTGGCTTCCTGAGCTGTGGTAGAGCTTAGAGCCGCCGACGTGGTATTTATGTTCTAGCAGCGCTAAGTGTGCTAAGTCACACATATTCCTGTTTCACAGTTTTGTTGTAAAATATTTTATGTTATTTATTTATGTTAAAATAATAATTTTGATATTTTAAATAATAATTATTTATTAAAATAAAATTATTTATGTTAAAATAATAATTTGTCTATGTTGGGTTGAAAAACATATTGCTAAGGTGAATTTTATCTGCTGCTTTTTGCTCTTTTAATGTGCTGCTGGAAATATTTAAAATTATACATGTGGCTCACTCTGTTTCCGTTGGACATCACTGATATTAGACAGCATCCCTCCAGGGCAGAGTAAAATTGCCCGATTGGGGTTTACAAAGCTGTACATCTCAGTGGGAGCAGATGGCCCTCCGAGTGGCTGGTGGATCTGCATCCACAGACCTGGTGGTTGGCAGATGGACGCCCATCTCACAGTGCCACCGGGCTCCGACAGCGAGGAGCTCACGCCGTTGTTGCAGCCACTGTGTCACTCCATCCCTTTGAGGGTCTTCTGGTTTTTTGCTGCCCCTCCACTTTACCAAGCATGATTTTCTTTGCCACGGCGACAAGTTGAAGTACCCCCGTGGGTTCCCAAGGCTGTAGATCTTTATGGGGCAGAAGGCTTCATCTCCTTCCTCCCTTGGAATGCCTGGGGGTTTCAAACCGCTGTCCTTGCGGTGAGCAGCCTCCATCATAATCCACTAGACCACTAGGGCTCCTGAAGTAGGAAGTTATATCGTAAGTAATATGAAGGCCCCAGTGGCTCTAAAGAGAAAGATTGACATGCTTGCCTATTTTTAAATTTTAAAAGATTCCATTTCGGTTTTCAAAAAGACACCATGAAGAGAGTCAAAGGGGAAGCTGTATGGCAGGAAAAAAAATTCGCAGCCGACACAGCCCTCAAAGGGCTTATATAAATAATGCATCAAGAATTCCAATCAATCAGTAACAAAAATATATACACTTCAAAATAAATAGAACAAGCACATCACCAAAAATCATATATCCAATTGCTCAATTTCAACAAGACAATGCCACTTAAAGCCATACTAAAACAGCACTGCACACAGCTTTAATTAAAAAGACTAACGATGCCAATGGTTGGCAGAGATACGGAGCAAGAGAACCCTAACGGTAGGGTCCACTATTTTAGAAAACAGTTTGAGATCATCTACCAAGACTCAACACAGGCATTTCCTGTGATCCAGCAATTCCACTCCTAAGTGTTTATTCAACAGAATGTTGGCACATGTGCATTGTTTGCAAAAATGCAAGTTACAGCATTATTTTTAATAGTCCGACACTAAAACAACCCAAAGGCCACATACAGCAGGATGAATGAATGGTCGCCCAAATGGAATGCTACACACTAGTGAAAAAGAATGAAGTCACAACTATATCCAACCGTATAGGTGAATTTCACAGACATAACGTTGAACCCAAGAAGCCAAACATGAAAGCATCCATATTTTCGGAGTTCATTTCCATAACGTGAAAAAGCCGCTAACGTCAGACATGGCATGAGAAGAACGACTGATTGCCTTTGAGGAGAAAGGTGAGACGGCACACAGAGAAAGGGCTCGGAGCGTGCGGTCGACAGTCCTGTGTCTTGACTTGTGGAGTCATTACAAGTGTGGACTTCGCGGCAAGTCAGAGTGAGCTGTGTGTTGGGGGAGAAGGCATTTGTGTGTGTGCATGGGAGGTTTCATAATAAAAAGGCCTTTTGTTTGGGTTTCCAAATGTGGGTGCTTTTCAACGCGTCTCAACTTGGCATTGTGAGTTCCAGCAAGTGGTAGTGCCGGGAGGGAGGGATAGGGATCTCTGATGCAGATCCCACCAGGTCCCCCTACTTCCACTCACCCCCATCATCACCACCGCCACCCCCTCTCCTCCAAGTGTAAAGAGATGCTCACAGGAGTCTCCTTTTTCATTCTGCTAATATGGTAATTATAACATTGCTCTTCGAATGTTAGACCAGCCTTGCATCTCTGCAATGAGCCCCACACGGCCAGGATGCACTATCATTTTAAAATGTATTTCTTGCTGGATTTGATTAACTAATACTTAGTTAAGGGTTTTTATAATGTGTTTCTTCCTTTGTATTATTTTAATGGCTGTTTTGTGGTTCTGATTTATGTATTGAGGAGCCCTAGTGATGGAGTAGATATGTGTTGGGCTGCGATCCAAATGGTTGGCAGTTTGAAACCACTAGCGGCTCCTTGGGAGAAAGACTGGGCTTTCTACTCCTGTAAACAGCTTCAGTCTGAGAAACCCCTAGCGGGTCACTGTGAGTCAGCATTGACTTGGCAGCAGTGAGTTTCATTTTGGTTTGGTTGGTGGGATCTGTTGGCTGGACATGTATGCCTCTTACTAGCTGTACAGCGCTCTCTGATTTACCACAAAGTCCACATTTGGAACCAGTCCCCAGGCCTGCTCTATATTGACATGCTGGTCAGGCTCATTTGTCTTTCCTTCAGGATAGAGCAGAGGTGTGGGGGCAAGATGCTGTGGATTAAAGCATCGGGCTATTGGTCACGGAGTGAGTGGCACAGGAAATGGCACCACCAGATGACAGGTGAACAGGGTGGCAGGGACATGCGGGCCTCTCAGACCGCTGGTCATAGGTCCTGCAACAAGAGCATATGCTTTCCATCACGGAGTGTGTAGCAGCCCAGGTGTGATGGAAGCTGCTGGTTGCCGGTCCCACAGCACACACTGTAGGATTTTGCTTGTTAATCAGTTTGGGTTTGTTGGGTTTGTCTATTATTTTCCTGTTTTCCATGGCTGTGATTTTTATTTCTTTTTAAATGTTATAAAGTATGCTCTTTTTTCTAGTTTGTTAATGAGGAACCTTAGTTCATCCATACCAGGGAGCTTCAAAAAGTTTGTGGAAATATTCCATTCTTTTTTTTAATTCTCTTTTTTCCCATGATCCTTTGGAAGGCCCCTCATATTAGACTCTGGTTCTTCTTTTACAGACACATTTAAAGCTATAGATTTGTATCCTCCCATGGCATTCCATTTTCATCAGTTCAAAATATTTTCTAATCTACTTGGTGATGTTCCTTTGATGTGTGCATTATTGACAAGTGTGTTGTTTAGTTTTAACAATGTCGAAGGTTCTAGATATCTGCAGCTGGTTTCGAACGTATATGTGGTGGTGCTCGGAGAACAAACTAACACGACTCCAACACTTTCAAGTTTACTGAGCCTTGTGTTCCATCGTAGCAGATGGCCTGGTTGGTAAATGTGTCAGACGCACTCGTAAAGAATGACTGTCCTGCTGTCGACAGCCAGGCGTGCTATCATTATCAATTACTCTACACTCGAGCATAAGCCGAGGCTTTCACCACAGTTTTAATGCAGTTTTTGTGGTAAAATTAGGTGCCTCGGCGGATTTCAGGTCGGCTTATACTCGAGTGGGTATGATAGTTGGTGATGTTGTTGGCTGCAAACACTGGACAATGAATAAGGAAGAGCAAAGAATGGATGTCTTTGAAGTATGGCGTTGGCAACGAATATTGAGTACACCATCGATTTCCAGAAAAGGAACAAATCTGTATTGGGAGACATACAGCCAATATGTTCCTTAGAAATAAGAATGGCAGCGTTTCATGTCACATATGTTGGGCCTGTTACCAGGAGGGGCCTGTCCCTGAAGGAGAGCTTCATGCTTGTCAAAGCTTCATGCTTGTCTGCAAAAACGAGGAAGACCCTCCAGCAGATGGACTGACACCATGGTCCCAACAATGGGCTGAAGGGCTGAAACAATGGTGAGGGTGGTGCAGGACCAGGCAATGTTTCATTCTGTTGTGAATAAGGTCACTATGGGTCAGAGCCAACTCTACCGCATCTAACAACAACAACAACAACAACATGCACACAAGGAAAAAATCATAGGGTCAGAAGCCTTTTGAAAGACAAGTACCCCTAAGCTCATTATAAACATGGGGTATTTGTTCCCCCAGACAGACAAGGGGGGAAATTTTTTTCCAGGTCAGGGACTGGCATGAGTTAAAGCACCTCTTATTAAGGGGCCATTCTGATTCATGACCCGCCCATGTGTGTCAGAGAAGAACTGTGTGCCAGGGTTCTCCAGGGTGCCTCCCCAGGACGTTCTTCTGAGGAGCCTGAGTGGACTCAAACATCCGATCTCTGAGTTAGCAGCCCAGCATGTTAACTATTTGTTCCACCAAAGAAAAAAGCAAAACAAAAAATCAAAGCCCAAGGCCCGCTATTGAGTTGATTCCTATAGGACAGTTGGTCTGGCACTGTAGGTTTCCAAGACTACACATCTTTAGGGGGATAGGGAGCCTCGTGTTTCTCCCCAGCAGCTCATCAATTTGACTCAGGGGGCGTTGAACAGTTGTCTTTGCAGTTAACCATCCAACGCTTAACCCAAGGCTCCTTTTGTACTACCTAGGGACTCCTAAAAGCTAAAGCAAGGAACCGTGAAATAGCTTCCTGCCTGCAAGAAACTGCAGACGTGCCCACACAATGAATATGCTCAACACTGTTCCCAAGACCAAAGCACATCCTGAAGCATGCTAGGTATGGTAGGAAAGGAAGAAGGGAGAACGGAGGGAGGGTGGGTGGGCAAGGGGCGGTTGGGAAAGAAGGAAGAAAGAGGGGGAAGGAAGAAGGACAGAGCAGGGAGAACACCGGCTTTGAAGGCAGTGTAAGCGCTTCCTAAAATCAGGGCTAGCTATGAGGATTCCCTGCTGGGACTACTTTGAGTTCTCTTAAAACTAGCTGTAGTCACCAAGTGATTTGGATTCAGGAGAGATTAGTTTGCCTAGATTATTACATTGGCTGGAGCCAATGTCATGTCTTCTCATGTATGAAATGTCTGATTTTGTGTGGGATCGTCATAGAGGGTTTGATTCTGAACATCTGGTTGAAAGTGGAAGCGATGTCTGTCTTCTTCCGATTCCCACAGTTAAAGTCTCGGAAACCCACAGGGTTTGAGCGCCCTTGTAGGGTCGCGATGACTCGGCATCCTCTCGATTTGGATTTTTGGACCGGCCAAGGTGAAGTGTGATTTTGTCTCTTGGATCTGTCCTTCACTCTCCGCCAGTCAACAAGGACTCACGGCGGCCCTACAGAACAGGGTAGAACTGTCCCTCCCCGGGGGCAGTTTCCGAGACTGTAACTCTCATGGAAGCAGAAAGCCTCCTCTTTCTCCTGCGGAGCGGCTGATGGTTTCGAACTACTGATCTCGTGGCTAGCAGCCGCTCACGTATCCCACTGCGCCTCCAGGGCTCCCTAGGGACCAGGTGCGGTCCTGAAAAGCTGGAGAGGGTGGGTGTGGAGCAGGAAGAGCGAGGTGGAGGAAGGACGGGCTAGAAGGACGGGGGAGGGGGCGGAATGTGCGACTCCAGGGAGGATCCTGGAGGGCGCTGTTGCCTGGAGACAGCGTGGGACGCCGTTACCTGGAGACCACTGGACGTCTGGGACCTAGTCAACCGCCGGGCCCACACCGGGAGAGAGAGACGAACCGAGCTGGGCCAGCTTCATGGCGGGACGCCAAAAGGAGAAGGAAGTGCCAGACGAGGTCCATCAGAACCAGATCTTGCGGGAATTGTACCTCAAAGAGTTACGAACCCAGAAACTCTACACGCAGTACCACGTGAATCCCCTCCGAAAGGGTGAGGGGCCGGGCTGGAGGGAGGAGGGCTGGAAGATGGAGTGGTCTGGAAAGGGCTGGCGGAGGAGGGGGAGAGAGGCCTGAGTAATGGGGACATCTCTGAATGCTCCCAGCCCCCCATTGCAGGCTGGGCTCGCTTTTCAATCCCTGCCCTATCATGACCCTTTTAGGCTTCAGGAGTCAATCGGGGTCTGTGTGTGTGTGGGGTGTGTGTGTGGGGGGGGGTCTCACCACACATCGCATCATTTATATTAAAATGCATCCGGGTCACGACCACGCCATGATGTTGTCAAGAAAAGTCAAGGGCGTTTTAGAACTTTGCTTTGGAAATGGTTTACTTGTAGTTCGCAGCATGGTGTATTTTGTTGTTCAGTTGTTGATGCCGGTTTTGTTGCTTGGTTTGTTTGTTAAGCTAACATTGTCCCTAAATCCCCAGGGTTGTTTCAGACCTTCAAAAAGCTCTGCGGTCGGAGCCCCCAGGTCCGGGCGGATAAAAGGGGCCGGCGCATCCTTGGTCTCATTTTGTGCACTCTTTGGGCAGTTCCATCTGGTTCTGTAACAGCCAAACCAAAACCACGCTCCCTGCCTTCCGGTCCATTCGGACTCAGTGAGTCTCAAACGGCCGTCAAACCCCTCACAGGCAGCCGCCTCCCAGTAGCTCCTTCACCTCCCACTCGCTGTAGCCTGCTGCTGCTCCGAAACACCCCGTTCTCAGTAAAAGGCACCATCGCCACTTCACCACACTTGACCCCGCCGCACCACGAACACCCAAGTAGTCACCGGGACCGGTTTGTTCCTCGTCTTCTCGCTCACTGTGAACCACAATACCACGCATCTTCCCGTGCTTACTCACCTACCCCTCTACAAACCGCCCACTCTGCCCTTTCCCACCCTCCCTCACAGCCCAGCAGGCCCCTCATCAGTAACTCTTGCCCGGATTGTTCTGACTCTGGACGCCTCTCTTTAAAAACACTGGTTTCTGCTGGCCACTGGTCATTTCTGAGGACTCTCCTCCTCGCTGACTCCACTGCAGCTGTCTGGCCTTGATGGTGCTCAAACTCCTCAGGCTCAGGCTCTTGTTCTTCCCACAGGCACATAGAGGGCCCATTCCCACACTTGAGGCAGGACTCGGCTCCAATGTATCTCTTTAGTGATACGTCATCCACACCCTACGCCATCTGCCGAGCTATCCATGTCTTCTTGACTCTTCTTCACTCCTGCAGTTGCTGGACAGTCTCTGTTGACTTACTGTCAGTCATCACAAACAGAAGGGAGACGTAATGAGTATGAGAACCCATCTGAAGCTTATGATTGCGATCTCCAGCACCCCAGTCCCTGTGAGCGATGTATGAAGTACAGTGATGAATGAATGAGTGAGAGGGGGAATGAATGGGGATGCTGCTGCCCTATATAGCATGGCTGCCCTCCCTTGAGACCAGCCCCATTTGATAGCACGGTTTTTGAGAATGAATTCAGGCAGCCAGATTGACCACACAGTGGACAGCACCTCTCAACATGATGGGCTTATTTGTCTTATTCAACATTGTTCTCTAGTGGCCAGTACATCACCTGGCAGGTGGCAGGTACTCAGGAAGTGCTAGGTGGGTGCCTGCTCTTCGGTGGGTCGCAGAGAGGCTGTGGAGGGAATTCGTGTTTTAATATGAACCTGTGGTGTTTTCTTTTGTAGTTCATACAATCACCAGAAAGCCTATGTCTTGGCATGATAACCTGGAGGAACCTGCAGATGGTAAATCTTGGGGTTTGAACATACTTTTGAAGTTCCACATAGAGAGGCAGCAGGTGGTTGAAGAGCCCCCGGGGTAGTACAACCTGGTGGCAAATGTCAGAGTCCTCTGCTCTGGTTGTCTGGGAGCTAGACTCATAGTAACTAAGCTCACCAGCGACTGACATCGTCAATCTGTAAGGCCCAAGTATTCCTTTTCAAGCCCGCAAAAATGTTCCTAATGGTGCATTTATGTATTCGTGACCAACAACTTAATGAGTGTAAAGATGGAGTCATGCTAATTGAGCTCAAATCCCAGGTCTGCTCCTCAAAACTAGGTAACTTTGGACAAGTCACTTAATCTCCCTACGCTATCTTTTGGGGTTTTGTGAGGTGTTTTTTGTTTGTTTGTTTGTTTGTTTGTTTGTTTTGTGAGGTTTTAATTAAACAATTTAAAAGTCCTTAGAACAGCATCTGGTCCATAGTCCTCAACAAACGTTAGTCATTATTGCAGGCACTCCTTGCTTTGCACAAGGTCGTTTTATGCCACTTCATTTCTTTGCTTAAGACCTGCAACAGTACCAGAAATCAGAAGAGGGTTTTGACTCTTCGGGGGAAAGGGCAAAAAGTGAAAGGAGTGCTCAGTGTTTGTTTTGCAGGGCGTTCTGAAAGCGTCCCTGGACAGTAAGAAAGGTGCTGCTAAGCTCCTCCCCCCGAGATTACGCTCAGCATCTGAGCATGGGGCTGCCATAGCTTTACACTCTGTGAGCGCATTATTTTAGTATTATTAGTATAGCATTTTAGCATCTCAGGATTATTTTAAGATTTCTGTGTTATTTGGTAGTATTCGGTAGGTTATTTGGGGGATCTTGGGACACTCAAAATTTTATTTTCCTGTGCAAATGACTTGGCAAATGGCTTCGTAACACCATTTCAACTTTCGAAAGATTACTTTCAGATAGCGGAAGGAAGCTGTATTCTTTTCATTGCTCCCATGTCACAGTCACTATAGGAGATGAGAACCCCATTGCTAGTGAAGTAAACAGACAAGTAATTGGTGGGCCACAGTACACCTAAAGCAGGTATCTAAGTCAGGCAGGAGACTCCTAGACGACCTTAGGCGAAGGGTGGCAGGATGGGGTAGAATGTGCCAGTTGAAGGAGAGTGGGGAAGGAGATTCCAAGCATACAGAGAGGCACGGGAGTGACAGGTGTTCGTTTGGCCTGAGAATAGCAAGCAGTTGTGCACAGACAAGAGGATGCAGGGGGTGAGATGGCCGGGTTTGGGAATGAAGGAAGAGAGCGCCCCTCTGCTGGAAAGCCTAGGCCCTGCCTCTGCCCTCGCCTTTACCTTCCTGGAGTAGAATCTGCCAGAGGAAGGATGTAGGATTTAAATAGGAAGGTGGGGTGGAAAGTGGGGGAAGAGAATAGAGGATCTCATAGCAGAGGAAAAGATGATGTTGTTAGGTGCCCTCGAGTTGGTTCCGACCCATCGCAACCCTGTGCACCACAGAAAGAAACCCTGCCCAGTCCTGCGCTGTCTTCTGGGCGTGCGCCCATTGTTGCAGCTACTGCGTCAATCCGTCTCCTCAAAGGCCTTCCTCTTTGGGGCTGGCCCTCTGCTTTACCAAGCATGACGTCCTTCTCCAGGAACTGGTCTTTCCTGACAACACGTCTGAAGTGCCTGAGACAAAGTCTCACCATCCTTGCCTCGAGAAAGCATTCTGAGTGTACTCCGTCCAAGACAGGTTTGTTTGTTCTTTTGGCAGTGCGATATTCCTCGCCAGCACCACCATCCATCCATAGTAACAGATACAAATAAGTACATAAACTACTGTTAGTGGCCATCAAGTTCACGTCAACTCATAGGCTTAGAACAGAATTTCTCTAGAGGGTTTTCAAGGCTGTGGACTTTCAGAAGCAGGTTACTAGGGCTTCTTCCCCAGCATCTCTGGGTGAGTTCGAACTGTCAACCTCTCCACCAGTAGTAGTGCTTCACTGTTTGCAGCACCTAAAGACTACATAAACTAATACAAAAACAAAACACCAAACCCAGTGCCATTGAGCTGACTCTGACTCCTAGTGACCCTACATAGAGAGTCCAAGACTGTTGATCTCTATGGGACTCAAGCTGTGGGCTTCAATGGCCAACCTTGCGGTTCTCAGCTCAACATTGGTCCCACAGCGCCTGCAGCCTGATCGAAGGAAGGAAGGTTGCTATCTGGGTGAGGAGACCAGCCTCGTCAGGGACAGACGCATGGCAGAGACTTACAGGAATATGGCAAAGAACGTGGAGTGGGGTCTGGAAAGCCAGGTAGTACTATCTGCTTTATTAGGGAGGAAGGATCCCGGTGGCACCGTGGGCTCACTGTGGGGCTGCTCAGGGGAAAGAGGAGGCTTTCTGCTCTGGTAAAGATGTTCAGCCTTGGAAAGCCTAGGGATCCGCCCTACTGTGTTCCATGGGATTCTTTTGAGTTGGATTCAACCAGTGGCATACTACCAAATGCAGGCGCCAGCCCATGCTAGGCTCTTGATGTGCATTCCTTCATTCCATTGCCCCCGCCATTTCGCCACGGTAGACATTTTCCTCCCATTTTACAGGTGGGCAGAGCATTGCTCAGAGAAGTTAACAACTTGGCAAAGAGCATGAGTAGGATTGCCCATCTCAAAACCCCGGGTTCTTTATTCCACGGTCAGACTGCCGCTCTCAAACTGAGATGTAATAGAGTGGAAACAGGGACCTGGAGCTGTGGGCTGACCAAGTATCTGGCGTCAACAGCCACGCTGATCTTAATTCAGAAGGATGTGACTTACCACCTGAGAACTGAGAGATGTTAGTGGAGACTGAAGATTGCAGCGCAGTTTGGCACAGACACAGGAGACAGGTGGGGAGACGGCCAGCTCTGGGAATGTGTGACTTCAGTGACCAAACTGAGGCTCGTGCCTCCAGCGGTCTTAAGTGCGGGTTCATGATTGGCTTCTTCCATCTGAAGCAGCAACCCCGTCTGCACAGGCTCCTTCCTCGCAGAACGAGTGGTTGTCTGCAGCTATCAGATTTACTTGTATCTTGTGTCCTGGTCTCCCCATGACAGAGCCTTGCTGGCGGAGTGATCACGTTGGGCTGCCAACTGCGAGGTCAGCAGTTTGAAACCACTAGCTGCTCTGCAGCAAAAAGACTGGGCTTTCTGCTCTCTTCAAGAGTTACAATTAAAAAAGCAAAGAGAAAAGGGTTCGTCTCAGAAGCTCACAGGGGCGGTTCTGCCCCTCCCACAGGGTGGCTATGAGTCGGTATCGATGCGATGGCAGCGGTAGTGGTTTGGTTTGGTCTCCCCGCTGAGACTGTGCGCTCCAGGAGAACGGGGGCTGTGTCTGTCTCCCTCCGTGCTCTGCTGCCGGGCCCAGAACTGTGCCCATCCCAGGTTGTGCTCAACAAGTATTTGTTGAAAGAGAGTGGCAGCACCAGGCAGTCCTGCCACGAGGCCCCTGGGTGTGCTGCCTCAGGGAGCAATGTGGCAGAGGCGAGGGCACAGGAAAGCCTGGCCTCTTCATAACCCAGGTCTCCGCTCCCAGTCAGGTTTCTGAATCTCATTCACCATGCTGCCCAGGGCCCGAGGAAGAAATACTGTGAGACACAGACTGAGAACCACGAAATCGGCTGGCAGTCACAGCCCCTGGTAAGCATGCCTCCTTCGTTGGTTAACGCTAAGGACGCAGGTTGTGTAGGCCATGGCTAAAAGAGCAGGCTGTAGAGAGGACTGCCTGGGCTTGAATTCTGGTTACCACTTAGCTGTGTGAGCTCTCTCGTGCCTCCCTCACTGTCAAATAGGCTATCACAGTCTCTGTCTAGGAAAGTCGCCATGGGGATGAAATGAAATAATACTCACAAAGCACTCAACGCAGGGCCCAGTACGGAGAGAACACCAAAGCCAGCTGTCGAGTCTGTTCCGTTGGGTTTTCCATGGCTGATTTTTCCGAAGTAGACTACCAGGCCTTTCTTCCAAGGCACCGCCAACCTTTTGGTCCGCAGCCAAGCATGTGAACCATGTGTACCACCCCGGGGTTCCAGGGAGCGTGCATCGATGCTTCAAAGCTCTGGTGGCCTGGTGGGTACACGTTGGGATGCTGACTGCAAAGTCAGCGGCTCGAAACCACTGTCCTCTCCGTAGGAGAAAGATGAGCTTTCTACTCCTGTGAGGAGTTACCGGTCTCGGAAGCCCACAGGGGCAGTTCTGCTCTGTCCTACAGGGTCACTGTGCTTCAGAACCCACTGGATGGCAGTGAGTTGGGTTTGGGTTTGGGTTTAACGACAGGTTGCCCGAGTTTGCCTTGCCAATTATTAGTAAGTCTTCGCGATGTCACTTCACAGCTCTGAACTTGAAAGTCAGGAACACCACTCCCCTCACTCGACTTGAAAGGCACAGCTGCACGGGAGCCTGGGAAATGTAGTCCCCAGCCCTTTGTGACTCTAAGACGTAGGGCTTCTGTTACTAGAGGGCTCTGGGTGGCACAAACGGCTCAACTCCTAACCCACTAGTTGGCAGTTTGAATCCACCCTGAGGAACGAAGGCGAAAGGTCCAGCAATCTGCTGCCATCGGATGATAATCAGACCCTCTGGAAAGCTTGGGGTTGACGTGAGTCGGAATCAACTGGACAGCAGTGAGTGGGACCTTTGGTCTGCCACTGGGACTTTGTTTTTAATGTAGAACTTTGAATAGACAACTTGAAGGTTCTGCCACGTTTACTTTTTAACCTCGCGCAGAGGTTTCAAGTAGTCAAATATCACAATCTGTTCCATTAGTTCCTGGGTTTTGTGCTTCGTTTAGGCAAATATTCAACACCCACACTATTATTGACTGCCCCTTCAGTCCACCTTGTTCCCAGTCCATATTGGTTGGAGGTTCAAAACTACCCGCACGTACCTTGGAAGACACCTGCTCCTGAGAGGTGCTTGGAAGCCCTCTAGAGCAGTTTTGCTCTGCACACCTGGGGTCACTGTGAGTCAGGGGTGAGTCAATGGCAGCTAGCCACGGGTCATTGTGGGGGACGTCAACTCACCTTCCAGACCCAGCTCACCTGGGTCACCCCTGCCACAATGTCCCGGTAAGGGGCTTCAGCCACCCACTCTCTGCCGAGCTGTCAGGCTTGCCTTCCCTGTGCTTCTGCGGCTCCAGCTTGGAACTGTTCAATCCCTACAAGACTTGTATGCACCTGATTTGCATAGTCCCAGCCAATCATTTTGTGGGATTTATCAGACCATGGCTAGAAAGAGCACAAGACTCTAACCTGTAGTGAATAAGAAAGGTGAACATGGTGAAGGAAAAGGGGTTAGGGTGAAGAACAAAAATCAGACAAATTAGATAATTAAGCAACTTAGAGAAATCGTACAAAGCACAAATAATTGACCATGCTATTCATTTTCCTAAAGACCGAAGGCCTGGAAATGTTTTATCTTTGACTCTCATGGCCTCACCTCATGGCAGGTTCACCATACTGTGATAGAAAGGACAAATGGAGCCAACCCCGTTGGGCCTTGCAAATAGTCCACTGCATGTGCCCCAAGACTGGTTGTTACCATGGGTGCAGAATCTGCAAATATGCCATGCCTGCTGGATGATGAAAGGAGCCCCGGTGGCACTGTGGGTTAGGTGTTGGGCTGCTAACCACAAGGTTGGTGGTTCAAACAAACCAGCTGTACCATGAGAGAAAGATGAGACTGTCCATTCCCATAAAGATTTACTGTCTCCAAACCCCTACCTAGAGTCACTACGAGTCAGAATCAACCTGATGGCAGTGGGTGGGTTCAGCTGGCTGGGCTGGCTGGTGCAAATGATTACCACACTTGGCTGGTAAAAAGATTTGAGAGCACCCAGAAAGGCCTTGAAAGATCTAGTGACCTCTTCCCCCAGATCAGCCATTGGAAACTCTGTGGAGTTCTACTTGGGCACACGTGACACCACAACAACTGGTGGGCTGGCTTATTATTAGAAGCCGTGCTGTCACTTGGTGCCGGTGGCAAATTGAAGAAGCAGATCCCAAACCCCTAGACCATGGTGCTGTAACACATCAAAGGTAATTAACTGGATTTCAGAGTAATATGATTGGGGCCGTATCGTTGTTAGGTGCCATGGTGCTGATTCTGACTCACGGCTGCTATCCCATGTGCAACAGACCAACACACCACCTGTGTTGCATTAGCTACACAGTAGCTGTGTCATTAGCTACTGTGTCATTCCATCTCACTGAGGGTCTTCCTCTTTATCAGTGACACGCCACTTTACCAAGTATGATGTCTTTCTCCAAGGCCTGGTCTCTACGGATACCATGTCCAAAGTCCATGAGATGAAGTCTCACCAGCCGCACTTCTAATGAGCATCCTGACTGTACTTCTTCCCAGGTTTGCTTGGTTTTCTGGAAATCCCTGGTACAGCCAATATTCTTTGGCAATACCATGATTCAAATGAAGTGATTCTTCGGGTCTCCTTTAGGCCATTGTCTGGGGTTCAGAAAGTGTCATGGCTTGGGTCAGGCACAGCTCCGTCCTCACTGTGTTATTTCTGCTCTCCAGAACTTCAGAGAGGACTTGTGCATCAGATTTGTCCAATGCAAGAGGCTTAGCCTCCCCAAGCTGGCAGGACCTCTCCCCAAATAGTCAGAATGCCGTCACCCCCACACACTGAAAGACCACACCCCCTGCCTCCTGCCTCCTAGGAACACCGGCGGAACGTAGATTCTTTCAGTCTTTTGTACAAGGTACATTTACTGAGTCCTCTGGGTAACTATTTCAGCATTCATTGTTTCATTAAAATATATACACATTAATGAAACAATGAATATATATCTATATATCTATATCTCATATATTTAGTGTGTCTCAGCTACTGTTCGAGATGCTGAGGGAGTCTCCCAGTGGTGCGGTTAACGCGCTCGGCTGCTGACCGAGAAGCACCTTGAAAGAAAGGCGGGCCACCTGCTTCTAATATCAGCCATTGGAAACCCTGGGAAGCAAGGTTCTGGCACACATGGGATCACAGTACATTGGGATTGCCTCTATGGCGACTGGTTTTCATGTTATGAAACATGCATCCAGGCCGTGGGAAAGGAGAGGGCAGCTACGGTGTGCCAGGCCAAGAAAAGCTCCATCAATCTTCCCAACTCCTTTGCTCTAGCCGTGCACTTTCCATTTCACCCACCAGACGTTAAGAACTACAGAGTGCCTGGGGCCATCCATCAGCAAGGGTGGGGCCTGCTTTAAACCAGCTCCCTCTGACTCCGATCCCTGGCCTTCTGATCCCCACGTTCTCCTATAGATCGACCCCGCCCATAGTGACCGCAGGCTGAACCACTTCAAGGTCTTCAATGACATCACCCTGTACAAGGCCAAACTGTGGCAGTTGGGAGCAGGCTACAGCCGCAAGTAGCATGCCAGCAGCGATGGTGATCCTGTGTCTCACGCCCCAAGGGCAGCCGTCCAGATCAATAAATAACACTTTAACACTGAAGTCTGACTTAGTTTCTGAGTCTCTTGTTTCTCTCCATTTTGCTCACGTCTATTGGTTCAAACCCTTAGTCTGGTGAATTAGTGAGCGGCTTCCAGTTAAAGATGGCAGGCTGCGTGCCTTACGATGAGCTCCTTCACCTCCCCAGAGCCCGATGAAGGGATGAAGACTGGCTGAACCCACAATGACAGAGACGGTGGAAGAGAAGCATTCGCGAACAAGAAGCTTAAGGCATGTTTAGAAGAGGGGACACCGAGAGAGGGTAGAGGAAGCCGCAGAATGCAGGGGCCACCTGCACATGGTGGTGGTGGTGTTAGGGACCATGAGCCTGTTCCAACTTAGAGCGACCTGATGCACCGCAGAAGGAAACCCCGCCCACACCTGTGTTGTCCTCCTAATTGTTAGATTTGAGCCCATCGTTGCAGCCACTGTGACAATCCACCTCCAAGCACAGAACCCATGAATCCTCGAGATCTGGGATCTGGGACCAAGTGAGGGGAAGCCGAGAACTGGCAGTGCCCATTGGTAAGCAGTCTGCTTAACCCCCACACAGCCCAGCATATAATGTTCCTCCAAATGGGGAAGCATATACTCACTCTCCCAGGTACGAGGCTGGAGGTTTATGCCCAGAGAAATGGAGAGACCCAGGGCTCGGGGACCCAACGAGAAACACAGGCCAGCAATGAGGTGTGGGGCTGAAATCCAGCGATGAAAATCTGTTGACCCCTAGTTCATATGCCCACCCACATGCAGACTGCTCTTTCACCTCGGTTTGAAGGTGGGGGTTTCCCCTAAAGAAACCGAACAACTCCAAGACAGCCTTTTTGTTCATGACTGTCAAGTCCATTCGGATTCAGAGGCTCCAGGTGTGCCGAGAACGGCCTCGTTGGATTTTCAAGGCAGTGGCCTTTGGAATGCTGCCAGGGCTCTTCGAAGGTACCTAAACTGCCACCCTTGGCCTAGTAGTTGAGAGCTGAACTGTTTGTCCCACTCACAGACCCCCTAGTCCCATCCTTAGGGCCCTCTAAAGAGAGCCAGGGCGGTTGCCCCATCTACCACCAAACACCCCTCCTGACCCTTACCCTGCTGAACTAGCACCCAAACCCAGGTTCAGAGCCACGGCCATGTCTGCTGCTGCTCAGTCTCTGCCCTGGCAGGGACTCACCTAGACCTGGGAGCTCTGCCGGGTGAACAAACTCCACCA